GTTTCTGGGGTTTTGTTTAGCTTCTATATTTCAACATAGTTGCTTAGTGTTGCAGCTGAGAGGCCGGCAAGTCAGGCGGGAACGTTGGAGTCCGCCGTCACTGGAGCAAGCAAGCCTCCTTGTTCGCTTCAGTGCATGGCTGCCGACCGCCATCTTGGATGGCCGTTAATTTGCATAAGGATATGTTGATTAGCCAATGGGAAGGGTAGCGGTTGTACGCTAATTACCATGTTTCTCTTTTATTAGTGTAGATTTTATCATGAGAAAAACTGACATTATGACTATATATAATAACAGTTCCACATCCTTGATCGCAGGTGTACATTATCTATGTTACAACATTCCATAGAAGAGGAAAGACCTATCATTTCAGCTATTTCTTAGAAATGAAAGTAATATTTATAAGTATGGATGATATTGTGTAGATTAAGATTTGGTTCTAAACTAATGAACATAAGTTATCGATACCAACGTTTACCATCAAGAAAATACCATTTCTACCACAAACACTAAAATAAGCCATGATTCTGTCATCTCCCATTAAACCCAAAGTGACAGGTCAAAGCAAAGGCAAGGAACACATTTTTTAAGGAAAGTGTAGTAGGTCAAATTTTAAGATGATCCCCAATTACCGACACCGATATACTAGTTCTTGCCCCTTTCAGTGTGATGAAACCTGTGCATATGACAGAATATCACTTCCAATTCGATTACTGACCAGTTGGTTTGATGTTTTAACTAAAGGAAATCAATCTGGGTTGGCCTGACCTAACCAGGAAGGTGAGCTTTTAAAAGAAGGTCAAGTATCAAGGACTTGCTCCTGCTGGGCTGCAGGAAGAGAACAATCATGTCATGAGCTGCATGCCGAGAAGGATGCCTTCGGGAGACCAGGGATGTCTCCAGACAACAGTTAGTATGAAAACGGGGCCTCAGTCATACAATCACAAGGAACCGAATTCTGCCAACAAACTGAATGAGCTTAGAAAATAGGCATTGAGGCCCAGATGAGAACCACAGTTCCAACTGACACTTCAGTTACAGCCTTGAGAGACCTGAGCAGAGAATTCATGACCAAAAAACTTACTGTACTGTAGAGAGCGGCTACAGTGTTTGGACAGGTTCAAGCCTCGGAATAATGAAAGGGCACAGTCCTCTCGTGGCAAAGCTACGTGCAAGTCCTAGCTTCGAGGGCAAAGCCCTCCCAGCACAATTATAGCCAAAGGCTATAGTTGTAAGCTTGACCTTATGGTCCGAACCTGTGGTCCCACGTGGCTAAGTGATATAGGCTGCGGGAGGTGCAGCAAGTAAACAAAGCTTGATCAGGTGCATGTAACTGAGTAGATTCAAAACTCACGAAAATGTTGTAACCATGCCCTTAGTTTGTCTCGTGGAATCTGGCTATAAAAATAAAGACTCGGCTTGTAGTCTGTGGCGTCACTAGCTCTCTGTCAGAAAGGACAGCGTCCCATCCAGACCCAGCTTTTTTCTCTTGTCTGTTTTCTCAGTCCTTCACCGCCCCCTCTCAGGCTTACCGAACCTGGCTGAGCTGGCGCGGTACATATGGCGCCCAATGTGGGCTGAGTATGCCATGGCCGTGCCGGCTCGGCACACTGTACAAACCAGGATACTTTTGAAAGTGAAAGGGGTACACTTAATAACCATCCCAGGGCAACAGTCAGAATTAGGACTGTCCCAGGAAAACTGGGATCAGCTTACTCATGGTGCATGCATAGCAGAGAATTCAACCAAATTGTAAAGATGTGCATTTCAGCTCAAAATAAGGGAAACGTTTTTAAACAATTAATCCATCAAAAAAAAAAAAAAGAAGAAGAAGATGGATTGCTTTAGGAGGTAGACAGGTACCTACAATGGCTGGCTACTGGCAACAGATAACATGGGACAAAATCTCAAACCAAGCTGCGTGGAGAATCACCTCATCTGTTTCAGTGTTTTGATTTTGTTTTGTTGTTTTTAATTCATATTCCCAGACAAATGGAATCAGAATTTCTAGGGGGGTGGGGAGGAAGGGAGGCAGAATATATATGTTTAATTAGTTCTCCAAGTAATTCTAACACACTGCCAGCTCAGTGATGAGCAGTGATATTTGCACTTTATTTTGGTAATGGGTCCTACCACCTTAGGGTCCTCATACACACGTACATATAATAATGCCACTACTTCCACAACCCGCTTCTCTCCCAAACACAATCTGCAAAAAATATAAAATTGAAGTCACTCCTACTGGAGGAACCCCAGGAATCCCTCACCACTGGACTCTCTGCCCCCAGCAGCCCCTTGGGCTCCCCTGTGAAACCCAGGGCCCCTCAGAGGACAGGCCTATGAAAACCATGCCTCCATCATTGCAAGTAGGCATCTTCAGGATGGCCACAGTTTACTGAAACTACCCAGAGAAGCTACTGTTTTTAAAATTTATGTATTTGGCGTTTGTCTCAATTAACATAAGTTGGGCCTTGTCATCCACCTTTATAATATTACCTTTCTTCGGTGTTCAGTTCTTCTACCTGAGGATACTTCAGGTTGAGGTGCAGGTGAAGGGTGAAGAACCTATTCGGTTTTCATCAGTCCCTTCAAAGCATGGCAGATTCAGCCCCTTATTTACTTGTAGGATTTTATTTTTAAAAGGAGACAATTTGGAGTTCATAGAAGTTTGAAAACCATTATTATCAAGTAAATTCCTGCATATGGTAAAAGATGAACTAGTTGATCCTAAAATCCCCTTACACATCAGTTGTAAAATTCTAAAAACCTCATATTGTGATGATTCTAAGAACAACTACAGGTAATATGATTGCCAATAAAATAAAAACATGGATCTTGTTTCAGAGGGCAGAGCTGCCCATGTCTCTTAACTTCCCAGGTCAACTTTAGGTAATAAAAAAGATTTCACTCCAAGGGGGTATGTAACAGATTCGCAGACCTAGATTTTTTAAAATTACTTTCATATCTATGGACTGAATGCATTCTTCCAAATGTTGAAGCCCTGCCTCTCAATGTGATGGCATTTTGATGTGGGCCTTTGAGAGGTGATTGGGATTAGATGGGCTCCTGAGGGTGGGCCTTCCATGATGTGATTAGTGTCCTCTTAAAAGGAAGAGAGACCAGAGCTCACTCTCTTTCTCTCTCCCAATCCTGTGACAACACAGAGAGAAGGCTGCCATCTGCAAGCCAGGACGTGGGCCCTCACCACAAACTGGATCTGCCAGCACCTGGATCTTTGACTTTTCAGCCTCCAGAATTGTGAGGTATAAATGTCTGCTGTTTAAACCACCCATCTACGGTATTTTGTTATAGCAACCTGAGCTGACTAAAACACTGTTTTGGGGTTTACTCTATGAGACAACTCTGCTATCTTACAGTCATGCCTGCTAAGTGCTGTGAGGCAGGACTGGCCGTGAATGAGTCTCAGTGGGACTCAGGATACAGATACGTTAAAAAACAAACAAAAAAACGAATCTTGGCAGCCTCTCCAAATGTACAATTAACAAGCCATATTTTTCTAAACACAGACACACAGACACACACACACTGTACAGTATGTGCAGTGAAATTAACCATCAATGAAATTGTTTTTCTAATAAGCTTCCACCCTTGCTTCATTTTTTACAATTTGTTTATATTTTAGAAGGTCACCCATATATCATCCAGGCAGCTTTATAGTAGTTCAGGAAGAATCAGGAATGGAACATAAAAATTAGAATTCCCCATAAAATTCTCATCAGTTGTAGTTAGCCTATTCCCTTAACGTGTGTGGGGTTTTTTTATATAAAAATTTTGAGAAGAAAAAGAACAAGTGATTGAAAAAGAACAAGACCAGAAGGAAGTGAAAAGATCCCTGACAAGTGGGCATGGGCAGATATCACAGAAAGCTGGCTGTGGCACAGACGTTTTAGGCCGTCAATGTAATAAAGAAACATCAGAGAACAAAGTATCATTGATACATGCACAGAATGCACTTTAATCCTCTTGTTGAATTGAAGGTCAGAGGAAATAGATAAATCTCATCCATTAGTGTGGATACTAAAAGAGTTAGGAACCACATTTGTACATTCTGAGAAAACAAGCTGAGTGTCAGGAATTGAATAAAAATGTCATTCGAGATTTCTGAGCCTCAGTGAGCTCTCCAGGCCATTAGCTTTCCCTTTCTGGCAAATGCCTAATATCCAGAAGTAGATTATGACAGTGCTTGCATTACCAACAACAAAATGAAGTCCTAAGTAACAGACATTTTAGGTTAATTATAAGAATGAAAGAAAATAGGAATCTTCCTACAGTCGATTCAATTTAATAAATAATTTATTGTGTAAATTATTTTCTATACCCCTATATGTAAGATACAATGCTAAGACACAGCTGGAGAAATAAAGATGAATAAAATTTAACACTCTCACTCCTGGGAATTTATCAGCCAATGCAGGAAATACGGCAAACACAAAAATAACTGTAATTCAACAAGATATATTAGTAAACAGCATAAAAGAGGTTTAGAACAGGACTTCTCAAACTTTAATGTCCATATGAATTAGATAGGGAGCTTATAAGGATGCAGAATCTGATACTGAGGGTCTGAGTAAGAGCTGAGGCGCTGCATTTCTGTAAGCCTACAGGTGATGCTGGGATGGAAGACATCACGCTACATTGGGAAAGGGAAGAAAGTACAGTCACGACAGGAAGGGAAGTTGATGTTTCAGAGGCCTCTGAAGTAGGGTTTTGTGGAAAAAGAAATAAAATGTAAAACAAACAAAAAAAAACGTGCTTTTTTTTTTTACTAACAGTGTGTTTTCACTTAAGATAAATTCTAATATTATTATTACTTCTATTATTTTAAAAGAGCTATCTTCTATTACCTGTAGAAACATAATGGACAGAATTAAATACGTGCTTTTTTACTAACAGTGTGTTTTCACTTAAGATAAATTCTAATATTATTATTACTTCTATTATTTTAAAAGAGCTATCTTCTATTACCTGTAGAAACATAATGGACAGAATTCTGTTACAATGCCATTCCTAATAACTAAGGGCTCTAGACATTGCACAGTCCAGCAGCTTAGCACTATGGTGTTGTAAATGATAGTTCACAAGACGAGCTCAACAAGAAAGCTCAACAGCCCATAAAGCTGACCCTGGATTGTATGTCCGACCCCAACACCCTTGGACAAGGCTGCCCCAAATGTTGACAGCCACACCCATGTGGAAGGATGTAGAATGTAGATTTTCATTTTCTGTTGCTGGGTAACAATTTATTATAAACTCAGGAGCCTAAAACAATACCCACTCATTTTCCCCCACAGCGCAGAACAAAGATATTCTTAATATTCCTTCTCAAAATATTTGAATACTCAGAATCCTTATGAAATGTAGACAGCAACTCTGATTTCACAGAACATAAATGGTTTATACAAAGGTAAAATCCCATACCCATCAAGGTAACTATACTTGATTTAGAAACTCAAGGATTTACAGAGCACAGAGGCCAACCATAAACCCCAAAAAACTATGTCTCGATTAATGTTTGGCTATGTTTCCTTGCACGTGGAACTAATCAGTGAAAATACTCAGGAAATCCACTAAATTCCTGTATTACACACGTGGGGGCGGTGAAAGCCTATACATGCTCAACTCAAAGACAACCCCCTCTGGCTCCTTTACCTGCTGCAGCAGGAGGCCAGCTTTGAAGGTTCTCTCCCCACAAGAAAGGGGTATATCTCCAACATCCACCTTAGATCTGGCCACAGAATATAATAAACAATACAGAAGCTCCCAAAGGACACAGCCAGGAACCACGGAGCACAGGTGGTTTCCTCCCTGAGGGCAAGGGGGCAGGCTTGCCAGGAGGGACAACAAAGAACTTTTTCTACTTCCAGGATAAAAATCTTCATGATTCCTACACACAGGATTTGGCCGTTGCTGAGTGACGATTGGGTTTCCTTTCGTCCCCTTTTCCAAATGGGAGTGTCTTGTCCAGCTTCCCCTCTACCACTGCCTTTTGGATGTGTTACCTGCCTCAGCCTTACCATTGTGTACTGGATGTGCATCTAGGGGACTTAGGGGGCGAGCAGATGGCAGATCAACTGGCTTTCAGATCGAATGTGTCAGACATGAGAAGTAATGTCGGGGCTTGAGAGAAAGAATTGACTTCATAGCACCCAGGTACAATAAACTACGAGATGAATAAAACCTTGGAGAGGGAATGGGTATGTGTCATGTTTGGGAGACAAACTGCACATGGCAGAAATTGTTAAATGTCTTCCCAACTCCGTGTTCTCCTTCTTTTACAGTCATAGGAATTTTAGCGAGGTAAATGGCATCCTACATTTCTTAGCCTCCTTTGTTACTACATATAGTGAGATGATTGAGTTCTGAATAAAATATGCAAGAAAAGTGATGTGTGCTACTTTTAGGTCAGTCTCTTAAAAGACAGGGGGAGCTTTTTGCTGAGATATAAACATGGTGGTCTCCATTCACACATGAGATCAATATCCCGACAGCTAAGCCAAAAGGTAAAAGGAGCCTCGGTTCCCAACACTGTCAGAGTCCTTATTAACCCGGGATTAGCATAATAATTTCTATCTTATTTAAGTAACTGATGTTTTAAATCTCTGTTATAGCCAACAAGTAATATCAGCGCTTGATATTCCATCACTGGTGGCTAATGAATATAGCAGCCAAGCCTACATCATAACTTACACATGCTTACAAAAATATGTCAGGCAACTTTTCAATCTAATGAAGAGATATATGTAGAGACATAGCAAATGGCTTAAGAACCCTATTCCAACTAAACTGCTCATTTGGATTGTGACTCACTATGGTAATCCTGTGTTTTATAAAACCATTTGCTACAAGATAATAATAGTAGTTAAAACACGGTGTTAAATTACCACTTATTAAAAAAAAATTAGGAAACCGCTAAACATACTGAAATGAAAGGCATTCTTGTAGAAGAAACTTGTAAACACAGTAAGATTGCCTTGAATTACAAAATTTGGGTTTAAACTTATTTGTGAAGGTGGCATTTCTTAAAATGTAAACTTTGTATTAGCACATATGTGTTATAGAGTTGTTTAGAATTAAGAGTTCATCAGTTCGTTTTCTCCAATTTTTAAAAAAGTAATTTCAAATAAAAAATCTATCATACAGGTTAATATTAACTTAATATTAACTCAACATTTAGTTACTAAATATATATCCTGAAAGTTCGAGAACAAAATAGGTAATAACCTTGCTTAATGTTGTTCACATGCTTTTCATGTATCTTCACATATAGAATTTTTTTCATTCAAAAGTTAGATATAAATAAAAAGATACAGTATTGTATCATCCATAACACAGCCTTCAAAAGAGAAATTGTGACATAACTTGATAAAGAATGACTTCTATGGCACACTAGCTGGATGCCCTAATTGGCAACTAAAATATTAGCTCCCCACGGATTTCTTTTCTATGGGGTCTGCTTCACATTGCCACAGTGAGAATCCTCATAAGCTAAATAACATTTGTAAGGATTTAAACCTTGAAAGAGCTTTAGGGAAGACACGTTTGCCATAATCAGGTGTCTTACCTTAGTCTTCAGGCCATGCCCAGGTTCTGGGGCAACTGGGAGAATGACCACCCTCTGCTAGGAGCAGATCATTCCCAATGCACCTGTACCTATGATTACTCTCTTGGAGTGCAAGGCACTTTTTTTCTCAGGTATCTATTGTTAGAAAGATGAAAATCCCTTAAATTTTTAATTCACAGCTGTTTAAATAAATTATTTCAATTTCCATTACTCACTACATGTTGTAGAGATTTGTGAGTAGTTTGCAGCACATAGCCTATCTCTCTGTCCCTAGATTTGCTGGGATGTCATGCTGGGATTTGAAAGCTTAACACCTTTCTCTTCTCTGGCACGCCCACTCCCACTACACACCTCACCTTTACATGGGACATCTGTCTCTCTCCCACACACACTTCCACTCACATTGTGTTTTAGGGGGCTGTAAAAACTTCTCTGATTCATCTCTTTGTATCTCTTCTCCCATTTAACACTATGCTTTCCATCTGGCAGAGTCTTAGGATAGTGGGAGAGAGACTTAGGAAACAATTCAAAATGGTAGCAAAACAAAAAAATCACCTGAGCTCTCTCCCAGCCGTGCAGTCCACTCACTGTAAAACTTTTACACATTATGGGCATTCAGGTCATTCCTACTACATTTTCCTATGAGTGAATGATTTAATAAGAATTTGTAATAGCCAAGGAGTCCTTATAACCCGGGATTAGCATAATAATTTCTATCTTATTTAAGCAACTGGTGTTTTAAATCTCTGTTATAGCCAACAAGTAATATCAAGGCTTGATATTCCATCACTGGTGGCTAATGAATGTAGCAGCCAAGCTTACATCATAACTTACACATGCTTACAAAAATATGTCAGGCAACTTTTCAATCTAATGAAGAGATATATGTAGAGACATAGCAAATGGCTTAAGAACCCTATTCCAACTAAACTGCTCATTTGGATTGTGACTCACTATGGTAATCCTGTGTTTTATAAAACCATTTGCTACAAGATAATAATAGTAGTTAAAACACGGTGTTAAATTACCACTTATTAAAAAAAAATTAGGAAACCGCTAAACATACTGAAATGAAAGGCATTCTTGTAGAAGAAACTTGTAAACACAGTAAGATTGCCTTGAATTACAAAATTTGGGTTTAAACTTATTTGTGGAGGTGGCATTTCTTAAAATGTAAACTTTGTATTAGCACATATGTGTTATAGAGTTGTTTAGAATTAAGAGTTCATCAGTTCGTTTTCTCCAATTTTTAAAAAAGTAATTTCAAATAAAAAATCTATCATACAGGTTAATATTAACTTAATATTAACTCAACATTTAGTTACTAAATATATATCCTGAAAGTCCGAGAACAAAATAGGTAATAACCTGTGCTTAATGTTGTTCACATGCTTTTTATGTATCTTCACATATAGAAATTTTTTCATTCAAAAGTTAGATATAAGTAAAAAGATACAGTATTGTATCATCCATAACACAGCCTTCAAAAGAGAAATTGTGACATAACTTGATAAAGAATGACTTCCATGGCACACTAGCTGGATGCCCTAATTGGCAACTAAAATATTAGCTCCCCACGGATTTCTTTTCTATGGGGTCTGCTTCACATTGCCACAGTGAGAATCCTCATAAGCTAAATAACATTTGTAAGGATTTAAACCTTGAAAGAGCTTTAGGGAAGACACGTTTGCCATAATCAGGTGTCTTACCTTAGTCTTCAGGCCATGCCCAGGTTCTGGGGCAACTGGGAGAATGACCACCCTCTGCTAGGAGCAGATCTTTCCCAATGCACCCGTACCTATGATTACTCTCTTGGAGTGCAAGGCACTTTTTTTCTCAGGTATCTATTGTTAGAAAGATGAAAATCCCTTAAATTTTTAATTCACAGCTGTTTAAATAAATTATTTCAATTTCCATTACTCACTACATGTTGTAGAGATTTGTGAGTAGTTTGCAGCACACAGCCTATCTCTCTGTCCCTAGATTTGCTGGGATGTCATGCTGGGATTTGAAAGCTTAACACCTTTCTCTTCTCTGGCACGCCCACTCCCACTACACACCTCACCTTTACATGGGACATCTGTCTCTCTCCCACACACACTTCCACTCACATTGTGTTTTAGGGGGCTGTAAAAACTTCTCTGATTCATCTCTTTGTATCTCTTCTCCCATTTAACACTATGCTTTCCATCTGGCAGAGTCTTAGGATAGTGGGAGAGAGACTTAGGAAACAATTCAAAATGGTAGCAAAACAAAAAAATCACCTGAGCTCTCTCCCAGCCGTGCAGTCCACTCACTGTAAAACTTTTACACATTATGGGCATTCAGGTCATTCCTACTACATTTTCCTATGAGTGAATGATTTAATAAGAATTTGTAATAGCCAAGAAAATTCTGGTTTAATCAGACAAAAGCAGACAACGTATGCTAACAAGGAAGAAGGTAAAGACTCAAGTTTCTGAGAAAAACTGGGGATAGGCAGGATTACTAAACACTAGGTTTACTTTTCTTAAAGGTACCCTTTAGTTAAAAGACTAGTTTATTCAAATTTTAAAAAATTAAAGACAAAGAAGACCCAAGATGTACACCTTGTACATTTTGTTCAACCACAAAATGTTGGTATAATTTTATTTATCTTACACCAACCTACATAAAAAGAGTATCAAAACGATAAGATCATTTGTAAAGTCAGAACATTTTAGTGTCTAACACAGAAGTTATTCAATACATATTAGCTGACTGGTTGCTTTAAAGAAGAGAAAAAAGCAATATTTCAGGATTGAATGAGATGATTAATAATATGGACAAAGCAAGATATCTGTGATTCAGCAACAGCCTACTATAAATACCAATCACTTTACACACATAATTTTTATTCTGTATAAGAATACTAAAAAATACATATAATTTTTACCATGTTACAGGTGAGAAGAGTAGTGCATAGAGAATTAAGTGCCAGGACCAAAATTCAAGGCAAAAGCTATGCATATTCCTGCCTGGTCGCAGCTCCCATAACAATAACAACATGATTATTATATTTGTGTACTGTAGTCAGGGTAGAAGAAGCGGTAGCTAGAGTCTCAGTATAACTGCTGATCCCATCACTGAAACACAACATGAATCCGGAAGGACAGGTATCCTCTGCTATCTAAATCCAATTGGTTCCTGTGAGCTTGGGTAGAAAGAGTTCTGATTGCAAACACTGATAGCAAGAAATTACATATCTATGTGGTTCTTAAGTTTGGGATGGCAAATAGCAACAGTGTGAATACTAAAGGATTCATTCAAAATTTTTCAGAATTATTTCAGTTCCTGAGTTCAGGTAGCTAGAGGTCAGTTGACAGGAGAAGCCTTCAGAATAGGTATCTGGTCTGCTTACTATGGGTCCTGCACTAAATGCAGTGGGGCAAACAGAGGCGGTTTAAACATGAACTCTGATGCACAAGGCAAGGCATTATAATCTACTTGGAGAAATAAGTCTGTCACACCTGTGTGTATGTAAGTAAATGTCAAGTCTAAAATAATGTACAAAGTAAAATCTAAATCAAATAGTAGAAGAGCAATAATTTCAAAAGCAAAGATTGATAAAGATGATAATCACAAAAGCACAAGTCAGGGGCTAAGATACAATAGCTCTTATTGTGGGAGGAAAGGAAGAATTGGCAGGATCTGGGCATTAAAAAAAAAGGATACTTTCAGCCAAAGGGAAGAGTCATGAATTAGGATATGGGAATTAATAGCGTGTATTCACAGAAGAGTGAAGAGAACAGTCTGACATACATAGGCCTGGCTTTTCATGCTGCCTCTATCACCACTCTCCCAGCTCCTGTTCACACAGCTGCTGGCCAGTCCTCCGGTGGCAGGTGTGTATGATGCTAGTTATTAATAATGGAAAAGGAGGTTACCCTCCATTTGCTTAGCATTTCTTTGAAGTGTCTCTCATGGATCACCTGCATTTATAATCCAATGGTTAGTCCTTTGTTTCTTGGTGGAAAACCCAGCACTTTCACACCTTTGGTCAATCATGTAAGTTGGCCACGTCAGTGGACAGAACAAAGTGAAGTGCGTTACATTTGGCAGAACTCCCTCAGCTCGAGGAGGCAATTGGTGCTCACCTCAGCTGAGAGCATTTGTAGTATTGAGCACTGTAAAAATTCAATACCACCTGCAGTGCTGGCTCTTGATGGTAATAATCCTATAGAATAAAGAGGTAATATGCAAATTAACCCTCACGCCCTCACAAGATGGCTGCCTATGACCAGGCCAGCAGGGGGAGTTAGTGAGGGATGACCAAATGACTGAACAAGCAGGCTGCATGGGGTGACCAGGCCGGCAGGGGGGTTAGTGAGGGACGACCAAACGACTGAACAGCAGGCTGTGTGGGGTGACCAGGCCAG